CATTAGATCGTTCTTCTGTGTTAAGAATGTTTTAATTAGCCTAAAATCACGCTTACCTTTTTAACCCAAAATTCCTTTGAAGGTATGTAAACTGAAGACGATAGCACCGCTTTTGACTTCATATATAAAAAAAACTCATACAATAATATTAAGATTATTCCCAGTAGCGATCATTATTTTTTCATTATGAACAAATATTTCCTCAACTGGACTGCTGAACATCAATGTAAATATTCAAATGTTGGAGCGAGGCGAACTCTCAAGACCAAAGACCTTCTAGGTCATTGCGCGTCACAACATAGCAATACGGCGGGCCGTTCGTGTAATAAATGCAGTTCTATTCAGAATGTTCGTCTCAAATGTAAATAAAAGTAATAAAGAACAATGTTAAAAAGTTTACTGGGAAATGAACTTGGTTGGTACGTGATCAAATCTTCTGAGAAGCCCTTCGGGCTTCACAGGATTTGATCACGTGACCAACCAAGTTCATTTCCCAGAGAACTTTTTAACATTGTTGTTTATTTCTTTAAAATATCTTGTATATCGTATGCCCCTATAGAGGAGTAATATTTCGTTTCAAATAAAACACGTATGATAACTATTCAACTTTACTTTAAGGGTTTGGTTTTGTGTTCAGCCAAGTGAGGCTCACTTAAAATAAAAACCTTAAGGATATCCGATCCTCAACCAGGAAGGATAACTCTTAAATTTATTATTTTATGTTTGTTTGTTTGTTTGTTTATTGTTTAACATCCCTCTCGAGAATTTTTCACTCATATGGAGACGCCACCACTTGCCGGTGGAGAGCTACAAATTTTGACCTATACTCGGCACTCAGGGCCATTGAGCAGTGAGGGATCTTTTTCGTGCCAGCACCTACTGCGACACGGGACCTCGGTTTATACGGTCTCATCCGAAGGACCGGTCTCCACGTCCCACAGTGGGATTCGAACCCGCGACGTAAGGATCAACTCCTTACTCCGCGACTCTAGAGCAAACGCTCTAACCACTGCACCACGCGGGCGACTATTATTTTATGTAAAAAGTCTCAGAATGAAGCTTGAAATTGAGATCTTTTGTGCTACAATTTTCATTTTATGCATCTCAATATAATTCAAGGTTCTTTGAAGTCTTAAAAACGGTCTTGTAAAAAGTTGACATTTGTACCCCATAAAAGAAAAAAATAAATTCATTGTTAGAGAAATCAAATTTCCTTTAATCTAGCACTGAACAATTAATTAGATAAAACATTATTATAATATCCTGTATCAAGATCCCAAAATGTTCTTCATTGTAAAATATGTATTTTTGTTTGGTCATCATATGTTCTTTTTCAATGATGTTTGGAAAGGTCAATGCATTTGTTCATACAACCATGAAATCAAAAATATTAATTTTCTCAAGTCATATCACACGAAACTAAATCACAGTCTTCACATTTTGATGCTTTTTCTCCAACACTGCTTTCCAAAAGATTAACTGTTGAGATAAACCAACATAGACCAAAACCTCTGTCATTTGAATAAATTCCTTAATTCTGAAATCTGTAAAATATTAAATATAAATGATTTATAACATACCACTAAAATCCAATACTGTCTATCACTCTCACAGAGGGAACTTGAATTGAAAGTTAAATTTTTACATCATGACATAGCAAAACGCATGCAAAGATGGACATGTAAATTTGGGTCAAAGGCTACACATCCCTCTGCAATGATGGTCACATTGTAAATGTTGGTTAACACTAGGGCTGGGACGATATATCGATAATAGCGATTCAATGTGATGATGATACGCATATCGATACATACATTTGAGGAAATATCGAAATATCGTCAAAAATCCTTCTTATATTTTTCTTTGTTTACTTAACATTTTGGGTTAAATATATAAAATAAATATGCTAAATATAAATATGAACTACATAATAATTAATACCACTTGTGTAAAATGATTTTGATTTACAACAGATATATAACTTCTTAGAGTAGATTATTCTTATTTGTGAAGAAATGTTTCGTTCATTTCAATACCAAAATAAATTATAACCAATTCAACATATCGTGATACATATCGTATTGTGGCTCAAATATCGTGATACGTATCGATATAGAAAATGTTGTATCGTTTCAGCCCTAGTTAACACTGATTGTTGCATTGAATATATCTTTTTTTTAATTTACAAGTAGTGTAAATCAGAGTAGTTTAATCCATATAGAGATAAATGAGTCTAATCTGTATACAAAGAGGTCAACCATAAATAAGGTCATGATAAACCTAAGTGATGGTCATGTCATCTTGCCTTGGGAAGTAGATGTCTTTGAGACAAGCATATAAGATCATAATTAAATAAAGTATCTGTCAAATAATGACCTTGCGTATAGAATAGTGATCCAAACTCCCCTAAATAAATAACAGAAAATCTTTTCTACATCTTAACTTTACATTTTAGTTAACAAAATATTATTATACAACAAAATAAACTGCTTTGGTGTGTGGTCGTCCGTGTCCCTCGAATGTCGACTACGTCTATGGATTTGTTCCAAACGGTGTTTAGGCTACACTACAGTTTCTTGCCGCTAATGAGGCTCAGACACCCCTCTCCAGTGCGAGAAAGGTTTACACTTCCCCCTCTCCAGTGCCGAGGAGGTTACACGTCCGTCTTGCGTTCAAGACTATGAGATGTGACTGGTACCGGCCCCCATCTCTACACTACCATACAGGAATGAGACCTGTTAAATATCATACACAGAATAATATAGACATACAACTTACTCCGTGAGTACAATATATACGAGGGTTGTTCGAAAAGTTCGTGGACTGATGCGATAAAATTAATACTATGTAGTCTATGATTACAAAATTTTTAATGAACATAAAACAACAAAAACTAAAGAAATGTTGAAAATTTCAGCTTGATACCTTGAATATTTACCAAATTATCATAAAATAAAAAAGACATTATATGATCACCCGGCGCTGTCGCCATTTAGTTTCGTGACGTCATTGTTTTTCAATGTCCGCATTCTCTACCTCATACACTTATCTTGATGAGTTTCCTTGGAGTTAAGTAAAGATTTAAACCCGTCTTGTTTATATGATTTTACAATGTCATAAACAGCTGATTTCAATGCATATAATATTGTAAGTAGATCTGAAAGATCCTCACTTGATTACAACAGCATATTTGCTTGTCGGAGTTCAACATCTATCACACATGATCAACGTCACTTTTCGACGTGACAAACTTTGAACACCCTCACTACAAATCGACATTCACTTTTACATCTCTCGTCTCTCTAATCTTTTTCGGCGTTTAAAAACAAGTACTCTAAATGCATTTTATTTTTCAGTAGCCTATTTAAATATTTCCTAGGTCTATGCCAGTTTTTCCAGAGAGTGAAACTTTATAGAATGTTGGAAAAAGAAACCCACCCACCCCCTTGTTGACGTCATTACAACCCCATAATTGTTTGGACATTTCATATAAATTTTACGATAAAATTTCATAGAACTTACAGAATGGTGTAAAAATTGCAAATTTTACGGTACAATTGTGTCATACTGATGAGTGAATTAACGAGATTTTTGAATGACAAATGCTCATATCAAAAAAAGAGTTTTTTTCTAAGTTACACTTATCTAGAAAAAACGTAATCTTCGAGGTTGCGCCGCGTGGACATACCATTGCTTTCAAAAACATCAACAATTTATTAAAAAATAAAACTAATGATGTATAGTGCATTATATAAATAAAAAAGATGATGCTAATTAAACGTTAAAAAATTCATTGATGTATCTTAAGCGGTTTTAATTTTATGGCGCTAGTCCACGAACTTTCCGAACAACCTTCGTACAACGCAATAAATGGTTTACTATACAACAGTTATTACAGAACGTAGAACCGACAAATAAAGACACAAACAATCCACCGTACAATTAAGACTCAAACATTTTCGAGTAACTATAAATAACAGAACTTAAAAATATCAAATGTAATAGCTTAAAGTTGCATATTTTAGAAATTCCGTATCTGGGTGTTCTAAGATATTTACAACTTTATTAAATATTAAAAACAAACACAAATAAGGCTTACCTCAGAGAAGCAGGACCATACAACTAAATTCTAAACAAGTAAAACCCTCAGTGGTCTGCCATGTGTATAAGATTAATCAAACAGATCTGGAGAAGTTTTGAATACGTCCTTCTCCCAGGACTGCCGTGTCCAAACTGCAGCACGGGCTTACAAATATTTTAAAGGTCCGGTGATTTGAGGTATAAAACAGGGTAACATAAACCCGGTGAAAAATGGAGGCTCCCCACAGGTAGATATAAATTGCTTGCGTGTTCGATTAGGAACATGTAGATTTTAATGTGACAGTATCGGTACAAAGTCTGAGGGCTAAATGACAAGGTAAGGATTTGATGGCAGAATTTTAAAAACCTGATATGATGACATGTGTGTTAGTAAGCAGTAGCTACAAGAAGATTATCTGAAACAGTTCCTTCCAAAAGAGATTAAAGTTTTCAATTAATTAGAAATAACCTCTGATGCGACTTTTCTTTTTTCAGTCACTGTTTACCTAACATTTGTTTTTTTTATCGTTAAAGTCAACTGCAATAGAAACAATTACTTTTATTGGTTTTTAATGTGACATCACACATAAGGTTTGATTATACTTTATTCGCTAAAGCAGCCACGAGTAGGAGAGAGCTGTAGTCGGCGGACTCCAACCATGGCTTGAGACAATGCGATGGACAAATACACAACATTCATTTAAACAAGATCTTTCTTTTCATCCAACCGCATATATATTTCTCATCATAAAAATTATACAATCATTCTTTCATTCTGAACACATAGAATAACATCTGAATCCAATCATACAAAATGAAAATGACTAGTCAGCTCACTGTGATTATAACACCTACCTTATACCCTTATACACATGTCTATTGAATTTACAGAATCATTTCACTGTGATATAAAACTTACCTTACAGGGGAGGTTTGTGGGAGGGCTCCAACACAGGTATCACATGAAATGCAGAAATTGGCAGTCCAGAGAAAATATCTGAGCAGTGTTCTTTTTTGTGAAACAAGGCATTCTGTAAACATGGTAAACATAGTCATAATTAATTTTAGGAAAAAAGTTCAAAAACAATTCTTTTAAATCTAGATATTAATCTTTGTTGAAGGGTGTCTGTGTTTTAACTGAATGATATTTATTTCCTGAAACTGTGTCCGATAATTTTTTTTTTCTCTGAGACATTATAACAATGGAGTTTTGCTTCAATCTCTCTAACAATCGATAAATGTGAATTTGATTATTGTTTGTTATCTTCATATTTCATTGAAAGTTTCTTTCATTTTTTTTCTTTTAAGCATTTTAACCCCAATGTGTCAAACTATATCAGATTTATCGATTTTTTATTGGTCCCATCAAGATAGAAATAACAAGGTTTGCCTGTGCCATTAAAATGCAGGTCCTCAAAAAAAAATATAATAATAATCTTTGAGATAGAGTGGTGGTTACATGTACATTCAATTTTTTTTTCAATTTTATGGAAAAATCTAAGAGGTTTCTACAAGAATATTATGGTATTTATGGATCAATACCAAGGTTTACCCCCACCCCCACCCCCCAGCACCTTATCTCTTCCTTACAAGAGCAACCAACAACCTAAGTATGAGTGAGCAAATGAAAAACTTTAAGATTTAATTAAAAATAAATATGCTTGATAGCATTTGATTCAGCATGCTCAGTGGTAACTTAAGATCAGGTAAGACTTCCTTATTATACTCCCCTTTTGATGAAACCAATGCAATTACAGAAATTCAAATTTTCAATCTTAACTATTTCAACTAGAGAATATTAATTATTAATACTTTATGCAATTTTCATCTTAAAAAAAAAAGCTATTTTTCAATTTTGCTGCACTCTTCATTTGATGAATAATTTAGATACAAGCAATAAGCAAATTAAGTTGACATCCTTGAAAATTTTATAGTTTAATTTACTTTTCCCCATGAGAACTACGTATACTGCACTAATCTGCAAATTAGAAGGACCAAGCTCAAAATGATGGTTTGTATACATAGTACAAACTTATGTGAATATTATTTATATAAATAATTAATAATACTTGCATCTCTTTTACAAAAAGTAAAACAAAAAAAAGCAATAGAATTTGAAGTCAAAATTTTGATTCACAAATAACACAACTGATTTACCATATATGTGTACTACGTAGAACCACTTCACTTAGCCGTCATTGGACATTTAACTTGGTGTCTGAGGCTCAATGAAGGATCTTACACAAAAATCGTTCATTGATAAAAACAAAATTTAGTTATATACTCTACTCATAATATTTGAAACCCTGTTTTTGACTAAACTATATTTTGATACAATGCCGAATACTTTTAGTATTTTGAAACATAGTAGCATTTATTAGAGGACCCTTAAATATTGCCCGCTACCAAATTGTGGTCTGCAACAAACACGTAGAAATTCTCGGATCCTTTGTATTATGTTTAACCTTTTTTAAAACTGATGTGCATCAGATCACAGGCGTTGTCATACTCAAAATGTATTACTGATACTAGGAGTTATATTATATATCTGAGATAAGGCTCATAATTCACAAAAAAAATATAAAAAAATCGACTTACTAGCTCCTACTTTCACTTTAGCCGAATATCACATGACAGACCTCAGGAATAAACTACGCAGACTGCATATAGTTCTTAATTTTCGTGCAATATTTTTCAATGTTATATGACATTGTCCTACATTTGTAGGATTAATATGCTTATTTGATAAAAGGTAATATTAGGTAATAATAAATAAATGATAAAAGGTACTATTAATATGCTTATTTGATAAAAGGTTATTAATAGCCTTACCTGCAAAAGAAATAACAGACGTTAACTTCAGTCGGCACTGCTAAAAGTGGGCGCGTATTAATTTATCTTGTCCATTGTAAAATCAAGACGGAGCATTCCCTGATATGACGTAAACATCGATGTTACTTTTATAATAAATAATATTAAACATTTCGATCGATACATTCTAATATCTGAAGATGTTTTACGAAATATCTCTCTAATTGCTTTGTGTAATTGGGGTACTAGAGACATCAGATTACAGAAATAGTCAGTAGGTTTCAATACCGGAATGGCAGCCAACAGATTTCGCATGGCGGACATGCCTACTTGATGAAAAACAGACAGTTATGGAAAAAGTACACACAGAATTGCTAGGAACGAAACAAATAGTTGTACCCATGGCGTTCAACTATCTGCACATATACAACAAATTGTTTTGTTAGACCTGTAGCTGTGCAGTCCTGCAAGTGTAATATGCACATTATTGCTGCAAGACACTGCAAGTGACAACCAAACTGCATACATGTCAAGACAGCTTTCCCATGGAAGGTGTCATATGTCAGTTTTCAAGAGTAAGCAAGAAGTATTTATTAAGATATCGAGATTTTTATTTCATACAAGTTTCACTTGGATGAACACAAAACCAAACCCTTAAGAGGATATAAATCAAGCATAACAAGCAAAACATCTTTCATGTACGTTTTTAGGATCCTGTTAAAGATTTGGCAACGTAAGCTCTCCATTGACTATAATATTTGCAGACAAAATATACAAAAATGGCTTTTAAAATGAATTTTTGAACCACAACAAATATCCATATGATTCTAAAATATTCCATTATACATCTAAATTTCTTCGTCTTTTCTATCAACAATTATTTTGATTGAAAAGTAATTACTGCTCGCAAGTAAAGAATTTGGAATATTTTTACTAGTAATCTTTTCAAAGGTAATGTGGATCTAACGATATAAAAGGAATTCGGAATATTTCATAGACACATTTTCAAAGAAATATTAATTTCAACGTAGGCAATCTTTTAATTAATATTTGTCACTGCAGGACAAAGTATGATGCAGAATTTATATGTTTTCTTGGAAAAGTTTGCTTGCAAATTAATCTAAAACTAGAAACAATTGATTTGACTTGACCTAAAAAGTGGGTAATATTGGTAAGTTTATAACAAAGTTCTTTTTTTTCTGGTATATCTATACAAATAAAATGCTAAAATGTCATAATTAAACCAGAATTAAAGGTAGGTCTAATGCCCTCTTTCTGAATTTCTGACAAAATGAATCTAAACTTTGATTTCCATCAACAAAATCATTAGATCAAAACAGAAACAAAAGTTTAAAGCGTGAAAGGAAGGTCGTTTTCTCGAAAATTAACTGTATTGTACGCGTATGCAGAAAAGTAAAAGTTACATGTGTACCAGGATGTAAACTCCATAAATATTAAAGTCGGATGTGTAGGGTATTGATACAATCTTCAGAAAAGATTTACAGAACTTATTCCTTAACTTTGCTTATACAATTCTTGTTTCAAGTTTCATGTTAAAAATTAAAGAGGCGTGACCTTGACATTGTTGAGACTGACGACAACAGCCACGCGATTGATGCAACTTTTTTTTTCGGCACTTACATTTTGCAGTCTTTTCTAGCCTTTTTAGTTGAATGTTTAAAACTTTAATTCGCTTTATTCGTATTTCTTATAATTTGTTTGCTTTATGATACAATTATTTTAAAAGAAACACCATATGGAGAAATGGTGTGCAATTTATTCATGAGATTGCTTCCACGTGATTTATTTCTCATTAATATTCATAAGATACTGCATATACTCGAAATTCCATTTCTTTAAGTTTTTGTTAAAACCTGCAAGCCTGTTTCGTTTTTATTTTCAAGCCTCCGTCATAGTTATATGGGTAGAATTTTGTGTGATTAACAACTGACCACTCAGGAAACCCTTTTTCTGTTATTAAGTAGGTCACACTGATGCAAGAAATTGCCGTTTTCAAATTAAGAAGGCGGCCGCAACTCCTTATGAAATGGTTAATCATATGTAATTTATAAAAATAGGTTTTCTCCTGCACTTCTTAATCGGCGGAAGAACTCTGTCAACTTGCAATAAACACTTACATTTCATCATTAAAAATTGATAAGACACCAATTCTTTACTCTTTCCTTCATTAAAACAATAAACTCTCGCTTCGAATTTTCAAATCAAAAGGCGGTCGCAATTTTCATTTTAGTATCAACAATCTTGTCATTTCCGGTAGAAGATATCAAGAAGAATCAAACAATTGGCGGAAGAACTTTATCCGAAATAGTTAGGATATAAAAATTTGCGATATTTTGTACTTTCTCTATATAAATCTTATGTAATCGACCGCCATTATAGTTCCAATATGGACGATATGCAAATGGGCCAAATGAACACCATTTCTCCATATGACATGATTTTGACTTAATATGTATCTTTTAATCTGAAATAATTAAATTTTAGTTGTAACGCGGTTTATAAAGCTTAAACTGTCCAATCCAGGTTATACCAGTATAACTTTGTAGCTATTAAATTCAGTCCTTATAGTGACACCGTGAGGGAAAATGGCAAAAATCGACAAAAGTAGAATTTATACATGACACATGCAAATTTTGTTCAGTTCTTGTAAGTATTAGGTTTCAGATAATTACAGGTTTCAGAACCTAAAAAAATCTACTTTACTGTAGAAAAATAAAAGTAAAAAAATCTTTGTATAACCAACACAAAAATATTGCTTCACTTCTTCCTCTTTATTGTACGCATGCGCTTAAAATTGAAGACTTTACCATGTTTTCAATTCCAAAGATATATTTGTCGGATGACCGAGAATTTTTATACAATCTTCAAAAAAGATGATCGGAACTTATTTCTCTCTTCTGTTTGCTCCAATTTAATGTTGTTTACAAGTTTCACGCTAAAAATAAAAGACTCTTGACTTTGACATTGTGGACATTGATAATAAAAACAAAGCGATAGATACAACATTTGTTTTTCCGGCACTTACATTTTGCAGCTTTTTTCTTGCTTTATAGTGCAGTTGAGTTGCCAAAATTTCGCTATATTCATAATGCACATAAATCTTTTGTTTTGTGATACAACTTTCTTAAAAGAGACACATGATTTTGACTCATTTATGTAACTTTAAGTATCAGTTTTTGTGTCGCTTGCAGAGTACAACGACACTTAGCATTCACTTTAACCGGTGTCTGTCTGTCTGTCACTCCTCACATCCTGAGAGCCCTAAGAGGTATATGAATTTGACGTTTTACACATATATTGCTTAGCACTAAGACTTTTGTAAAATTTCATGGTTACATGTACCAACCTCTTGAAATTCAACCATACTTTTGACCTTCTTTTGAAAAATTGTTCATTGTGCCAACATGCAGTATATTTTGGGCATTTAAGAGGTAAGTTTGTGCTATTTAGCATGTGCATTTTTGTCATAAAACATCACGAAAAACACAGGCGTACAAAGCAGCCGACATATTTCAATAAAATATGTTCAAAACAAAAACATTTGTTCCTTGGATCACTATAGTTTCTTCTATAAAAGATGCAGAAAGATGATAAATATTTTTTCTTTGTTAAAATGTGAAAGAATCTTTGTTTCGTGCTATGAAGGTACTAATATATTTGATACGTAACATAATTACATGGAATCTAAAAAAAAAAAGAGTAGGATTATATAAAATGCTAAATAAAACCATATAAATACGTCTAATGAATGAAATCCTGCACAGATATATGAAAATCCAACAGAAAAAAACAGTCTTAAAATATATTGGCTTTTCTTTTTGTTTGACACTTTTTAGTGTAAAACTGTTTTATTGAAAAAAAGTATAAGATAAATGTACATGTATCATGTAAAGAAAGAATACGTAATCACATTATGCTACAATGTAAATCAAAAGTCTTATTTAGAATTGCAAATTATATGCTCAAGAATAAGATATGAAATAAACAAAGTATTCAAGGTTAGAAATGTACACTAAAAATTGGAATGCAAAATACAAATTACCTTTCTTTGCAAAGCAGTTGATATTTTATTCGATCAAAAGACTGTCATTACTTATAGATGTACATATACATCTGTCTGTACGATGTGTTTCTAATATAAACGTTTTAAAATAACAATTTACTATCATTTTACAAACATTTGTCACGCCTTGTTACAAAGTAATTATATAGCTACAGCCATATTATCATGCACATTTTTATTGTATACATTCAATCTACAACAAAGCTCGTTGAAAACAATACAGAATAATGTGAATGTGTTAAAAATGAATTATTTTTTAGGGGTAGGAAAAATATAATAAAACATACATTTTACTGAAAAAATTTCAGAGTTTTCCCTGTTCACAGCATTTAACTGTTATTTTCCTACAGATAAGTTTACAAATCCGCCTAGATGATTAGCAGCCATTAAAATTGCATTCATGAACGATTTTTTCAATCGACCTCCAGGATTAGGTACATGTACTTCAAGCACCTTCTCGTTTGGATGCATGAAAGGAGATTCTCTCAACAATGTTTGAATAAGCTTTGACATTTTGTCTTGATCTTTTGAAATATTTGAGCTTAGCAATTCCTTAAGGTATTTGCAATTTGTATTTTTGCACATATCATTTACTGAGCGACGATCATTTGATTTCTTTTTCGAATTCACTCCATAAATTATGAAAATACAAACACGGACCAGCATTTCTAGTTGAAAAGGAATACTATAAGAACTTTCTTTCATTAGTTTCAGAACTATGTGAATTGGAGATGTGTCATTTGCGAAAGGTTGTTTCATATCTATTTTGCTATCAAATAGTGCCAAAATGCATAAAATTCTACTGTATCGTACTTCATTTGCAGCACAGTTAACGGCACATTTTCTATCTGAATCTAGGATGAAATCATCACACAACTTATTGGACTTGCAGTCCTCCAATAACTTTTTAATTATTAAATATGCTTCATAATCAGGTCTTTCGGATGTAAGGACAATATGCAACACTGTCATTCCTTTGTGATTCTTGTACTGAAGGACGGACTTCCTAATCTCTGTCGTCGAATTGAAAACAGTTTGCGCTGTATTCCTAAGGAAATTTTCGTCATCAGCACAACAGTCACCAAATCGAGCTAGATAAAAAGTGTGTTCCTCTAGAACACCCTTTTCCCGAACCAATTCATAAAGCAATTTCGATAAAGTCAAATGCTTGTATTTGCTGATCCAAAATACAGATGGAAGGGGATAGGCTGTAACTGAATCTGTAGAAAGGAGAAATAATTGCACATCATGCATTGATTTTAAAATTTCACAAAAACGTTGTGCAAAATGGTATTGTTTAAATGCGACACAAGAAAAGGCTTCCGAAACATTCCCACTATGAACTTCCTCAATGATTCGAGAAGCAAAACTTTCACAAAATTCTTCTGAAGGATTTATAAATTCATGTTTTTGAAAAGCATCGATAGGAAAGTATTTTATTGCGACATTGAAAAATTCTGTGCAAAAATAAAAGCCAATTGCATCAAAAATAATTTGGTGCTTAAATTGATACATACACTCTTTTTCACTACCAATTATAGTTACGGTTAATTTATTAGCAACAGTAGCTAAATCCTCAAAGTTTAAAGATTCAAAGCTTTTAGCCATCTCCTTGGAAAAATTTCTCTCAAGAAACCGTATACATTTTTCAGAATCTCTTATATCAAGTTTTTCGTCACATATATTGGAAAGCGACAAACATTCATTTAGGAAAAGCAATAGAAGTAACGTTTTCACGCCATGTGTTTGATCACTTTCAATTTCGTATTTTATTTGTTTTCGCAGGTAATTGATCGGGAAAAGAAAAAAGTCAATGCCAGTATTTCTGTGTTCTTTTTCGCATGCATAAAGATGAGCGCAGAGTGGGAAACCGATAGGACCAACTAATGCCTTCATTTTATTTCTGAAGTCTTGATCCACCAACGGCTTTGGAATATCCAATATTTTCTCTGCAAACTCTAACTGCTTATCAAAGATTTCGTCTTTTTCTGTTGGTGTGAAGCCATGATCTGCAGCATTAATGATACAGTTACTTTTAAACACAGGGGTTTTCTTGATCTTGTTGTACTCACGTGCTTTTGTTAGAACATTCTCTTTGGCTGTTATAAAAAGATGAATCATTCCACCTTTGTTTGCTAATAAACTACTTTCATCTCGTTCATCATTTGGCTTAGGTGAAATATTCTCATAGAAGGTTTTATTTAATATATTCCACCATTTTTCCAATTCATGATGATACATAAACCCATCAAATATGTTATCAATATAAATGAGAGAATTCTTCTCGGAATCAATAAATCTGAATTCTGCCCAAGACTTTATTTTTCGCTTTGTCCAATCTTTATAAAAATCATCTTTCATGATGCCTATAGCAATGTTTGTTTTTCCGAAGCCAGGCGGACCAACTAAAACAGCAACGCCTTCTTTCTGCAACCTTTCTTTACACACTTCAAATACCGTTGTTTTCACAAAATATTTTTCAAAATGTTGAAACGCCTTGAGATAGGACTTGGTGTGATCTTAAAAAAGAGAAAGATATATATTAATCTGTAGTCTCTCCTGCATGCAAATACTTTTATCTATTCATTTATATACCATACAATCATATATATGATTATCATGCTTTATTTGGCTCACTGAGAACCCTGCTAATCTGACATAAAAACAGTATATTAGTCATGTTTATTTATTTTTTAGATATATTTATTGTTATATTTTATTTTTCCCATTAAAAATGAGAAAGCAAAAGGACAATTATAACCCCGGATAAATTATATGTGTTTTCCATCAGTAAGTATTCATAGATCATGTAGTTTTGCTTGTTTATTGTTTAACATCCCTCTCGAGAATTTTTCACTCATATGGAGGCGCCACCACTTGCCGGTGGAGAGCTACAAATTTTGATCTATACTCGGCACTCAGGGCCATTGAGCAATGAGGGATTTTTTTCGTGCCAGCACCTACTGCGACACGGGACCTCGGTTTATACGGTCTCATCCGAAGGACCGGTCTCCACGTCCCACAGTGGGATTCGAACCCGCGACGCAACGATCAACTCCTTACTCCACGACTCTAGGGAATACTCTAACCACTGCGCCATGCGGGCGACGATCATGCAGTAAAAAAGTTTTAGCATTTTTAAGATGTTGGTGTTTGTTTGTCCATTCGTTTTTGTGTCTTAACTTTTTTTTCAAAAAACTACCCATTCATTAGTTTTAGTCATAATTGAATAAATCGTTTCATGTATGTACAATGGGCAACAAAATTCTGTATATCACTTTTTGAATAATGTTTCCATATATGCACATGGTTATTATACCAAATTATTTTTATTTTGAAATCCTTCAAAATGTTCCTACAGTTTTGGGTCAATTCTGGTATATAAAGAAAGATATATAATCCTTTTTCTTTTTATTTAATATTTTTTTAGCTTAAAAAATTTGTTAGCTATTTCGACTTTTCTTGTATTGCAGTGGTAAAATTTTGTGAAACCAATCATTGATTAATGAAGCTTAGAAAGCTTTCTCTTATGTTAGCAACTACTTTGTTTGTATATAATTTCATTTTTTTTCTATGAATTTAATGTTGTTTTTCTAATTTTTAAATATTGGTATATCAGATAAATTTTTAGTATCTTAAACAGTATTCAGCGCCTTATAGGCGCTATATAAATATTTTATTATTGAACATCTAACACTCAAATGTGTTTTCGGTCACATTTCACCTTCGCGCAGCTTCCTCCATGGTTTAATTTTCAGATGTGGAGAATCCTTATATATATGAAGTATATATATATATATATATATATATATATATATATATATATATATATATATATATATATATATATATATAGTTCATATTTATATGGATGTAAAATTAGTTCTAAAATTTGGCTTTAACAGAAACGAAGTTCAAACAAACTTAATTTAAGAACAATATAAAATGTAAGCTTGAAATCTTTTCTTCTCTTTCATTTCATCCAATATTTTAGGTTCTGTCTATTTTTTCATGAAGTGATTTTTATGAAAAAAAATCTGATGTATAATTTAATCATTTTTAATTTTACAAACCTTCATTTTCGACTGCATACTGTTCTCTTTCTTCCTCTGGTAAAACACAATTTAAACTTATACATTCAACAAATAAATCTTCAATTGAACAGCATTCCTACGGAAGCCCAATAGTGCAAACCAAAAATAAATAAACAAAAACGAAATTATTAAATAAAGAAAACGAAATTATTAAATAAAGAAAAACGAAATTATGAAATAAAGAAAACGAAATTATTAAATAAAAAGCAAACGAATTTATTAAATAAAGAAAACGAAATAATTAAATTAAAAAAACGAAATTATTAAATAAAGAAAACGAAATTATTAAATAAAAAACTGAAACTAAATACGGAATTTATAGATGTGCATGGTAAGGGCCTGAACCCATGAATCATTCCATAAAGCGCACGTGTTCTATGACCTGATTTTGTTTCGACATTAAAACAAGTGTGATATTTCCATTTACACTCAGCTATTCCCGTATCGATAACATAACCAGTTGGAGTAGACAATCAAAATAGATGAATAGAGGAGAATTTTACCTTTGGTTATCCAATATGCTTAGATCTATGTTTTTATCTTACATTAACATGATTAATGTGAACTTAATTTGACCAGTCTGATGAATTGGCCAGTGATGACAAGAGCTTTCTTAAACCCTCAACTCAGAAGGTCTTATTATTAGCAAACAATGGATCTGGACATGAAACATCAAAGAGATTATGCTAATAAATTGCACAAATATTTAAGATATACATGTCTGTTAAGATTCCGTTGTTTACAACTGCTGAGCCTTATAACATTTAGGAAATTCCCATGGTTATACATCTTTTTTTTTCAATTATAGCACAGTACAAAAAATGCTGTAAAATGATACGTTACCGATCGGAACCCATTATAAATTATTGTTTAAAGAGAGCAAGTGCAAAAATTAAACAAGACAAAGTTGTTACAATGAGTAGATTTTAATGATTGCTTACTTTATTAAAAATTAAGCAAAACACCTCTAATTTCTTGCACAGGCGCTCCCCATGTAATTCTGTAAATGACGAATGATACGTATATATATATATATATATAGGTCTACCCCTCAATACTATAAAATCAACAAGGTTGATTTTATAGTATTGAGGGGTAGACCTATATATATATATATATATATATATATATATATATATATATATATATATATATATATATATATATATATATATATATACTTATCATTCGTCATTTACAGAATTACATGGGGAGCGCCTGTGATTTCTTGGTCATTTATCAAAGCATAATTAGAAGTGATGCACTAACTATTTGTTCTCACATATTCTAAATGACAAATTCTAAATCTGTATTTATAAGTCAGTGATAGTTGTGAATAAACAATGCACACACTTGCATAACAAATCCAACTAGTATTCAAATCATTCTCTTTATTGTTTCAACAACCTAAGATTTATGGATACACAGATAGGGCACTAGGTTTAGTTCGGGGGGAATTCAGCGATACGATACGCAAGGCCTTGACCTTTCAGCGATTCATGAGCTCTTTTGGAATGTCATTAATTTTATGTAAGCAGAAACAGCCATCCTCGCTACGTCCAGGCTTACAGGCTCAAACTTTGACGTTGTGGGGATGCGACACAGCATCAAATTCCCGTAAACAAAATTGAACAGTTATTAATCATTTACTTTACAAATGCGAATTATAGGCTGTGAGCACATAATGTTTTTCTACGTTTGTCAATTTGACATTTATCTAAGTTTTTTTTTTTCATTTCCCCCACACTTGTTTCAATGTCGAAACAAAATCAGGTCTATAGAATTACTAAGTGATGCTTTATAACACGTGCGCTTTATGGAATGATTCATGGGTTCAGGCCCTTACCATGCACATCTATAAATTCCGCATTTCAGTTTCAGTTTTTTATTTAGTAATTTCGTTTTCTTTATTTAATAATTTCGTTTTCTTTATTTAATAATTTCGTTTGTCTTTTATTTAATAATTTCGTTTTCTTTATTTAATAATTTCGTTTTCTTTATTTAATAATTTCGTTTTCTTTACTTAATAATTTCGTTTTCTTTATTTAATAATTTCGTTTGTCTTTTATTTATTAATTTCGTTTTCTTTATTTAATAATTTCGTTTTCTTTATTTGATAATTTCGTTTGTTTCTTTATTTAGTAATTTCGTTTTCTTTATTTAATAATTCCGTTTTTTATTTAATAATTTCGTTTTTTATTTAATAATTTCGTTTTCTTTATATAATAATTTCGTTTTCTTGTTTCTTATTTTTTTGGTTTGCACTATTGGGCTTCTGTACATTCCTGTTTATAAATTTGCAATTAAAATTATGTGCTTAGCAATATTTTTTTTTCTTTCTAGACAATGTGATTAATATATATTCATACGTTTAACTTCAAATTTAATTTTCCAATCACATACCTAGTTGTTTAAATTTGAATTCAAGTTTAAGCTGTTCTTCATTATAATTGAATTTATTTAAGGTATGTTGAGGCAGCACCCAGATAATTATTCGGAAAATTTACACTTTTTTTTGTAAAATGTAACATTAATAAATTGGAAAATCATCGATAAAGCATTTAATACACATTATTATCAATTGTGCACACGTCAATTAGTCTAAGGTTTAAAGAACCATCCCACAAGAACACCATCGCGTGACGTCTATAAAAAGATAAATATGATTTTATGAAAAGTGATAATTTTCAAACTACCCCAGGGATTAATAATTTCTTTTTTTATAAAAAATAGTTATGTAAAATTATAATTAAAAAAATATGTAAAATATCAGCTTCAAACTATGACAAATGCTACTAGAATATTACCCTTTCGTCACCGAAATAATAATCTGACACTTTTGCATAAAATCTTACCAAACGTTTTACAAATTGTATGTATGATCGAAGAATTCTGATCAATTCATGTTAATCTAAAGATTCTAACAGCGTTTTTTCAAGTACTTTATACATGTAATATAAGCCATCTATATTAACAAAAATTATTTTTCGAAGTATGGAAACTCGTACTCAGAATATGTTGAACTTTTGAATCTTTGTTGTCAAGAACGACAAAGGAAATGCTGATCGCGATTTCAGAACACTGCCTGTCATCAGTATAGGAAAATATTTCATAATAAATCAGTATAACGGATTAATCCTAAGAATCACACATGATATTATCTCTGTATCCTTTTAAACTCCCATTTCATATACGTTTCATTTTCACTCGGGAAATATTTACAACCTTTATGACATCCTGGTTTAGGTATTTCACCCTTGTGATAAATGCTTCGCTATTTATACCATCCATATGTCAAAATTCAATATTTATAATGTTTTGCAAACATCCAGGTGTAGCCTTAACAAAACCACGTTAAGGTGGAAAGGCACACTTGCATAGAGGTGTTTAGAATGCATAAAATCTTTTGCAAGAAACTGAACACCAATTTTTATATCTAATTCTCTTGATTTCTTGACTAACTATTGCAATAACAGTTCTCATTTAACTCATAAAGTACACAACTATAGGACTTTAAGGTATTCAATGTATAATGAAGGAATTTTGAACAGTTTTGTGTCATCTTAAACTAGTTAAACATGCATTGCTAGATAACAGTGAAAGTGAAATGAACCAAATTCACATAAAAAATAATATGTTTTGCATCTTCGAAGTTTTGCCCTTGATGAAAAGAAGAAAATTTACTTTTTTTTCAAAATATCTGTGGTGAATTATTCATTTTATTTCATACTATAATAAAGAGAGAGTTTATGCATATATTCACCAAGAGATTTGTATGAAATTCAAATTACTTTTTACAATGTCCTAATAACACATGCGCTGCCCATAGACTTCAGTGTTAACTTCAAAGTACAATTAATTGTACAATAATCAAAATTTGGTAAATTCCTTTGGTGGAGTACTTTTGTTTGATAACACCTTCAAAATACTACGATGATTTAAAATCAGACCATTCATTTATTAGGTACAACAAATGGTCGTTATACATTTAATACCTTAAAATTTAAAACATTTTTTTTAAATATAACTGATTGTTTACCTGATTCCTTATACATGTCTATCAACAATTTACCAGGAGCAACAACTATAAAAAAAAATACGACGTGTGAGACAACTGATTCATGTTATAACTTCATGCATGTTCTTTGTTAAATCTCTGTCTTGCGATTTTTCAACTTGATATTGCTTATTGGTAGAATAATTAATTTCTTCTCTTATACGGATTAAAATGTAAACATTCTTTGTCAAATTTTTTTGAACATTAATATTTTAATGCTGTTTTTTCTTATAAAACTAATTTCTACTTCCATTTTCATGTGTGAAAAAAATGAAAATGAAAGGTAGACACGTATCTAATGAAGTATTATGCAACGCCCTTTTAAAAATTTGTATAGAAAATTAAGTTCATAATAGTTACATACAGTCCCTTTATAGGAAAAATACGAAACTTTGTTTTAAACATTATGTATGTCTAGTTTCAAATGTAGACTTACCAACAATTTTATCTGTCAGCGATTCTCTTGAGATGCCTATAGAACAATGTAGAATGAAAGGCAAATTATAATTTGGAAACACATATGTACAAAGTTAGGACACTTTACAAATACATTTCAACCAGATATTAAAGGCATTATCCCATTAATATATGTCATAAGCCTATTTTATATTCAACTAGTGGACGATGAATCTACTTTTCTCAAATTTTAAAAGAATCATAAAACATGAAAAACTAACATTCAAGTAAAAAACCTGTGACTAGAAAAAATACAACAGCTCAAGTATCTTACATTCACCAACTGTGAGTTAATATGAAAAATATAATAAATGAAGAAAATATAAACACTTTATACTAACTATCACTATCCATTTTGATCTCTGGACACTTTTCTGGAAAACAAAACAAGAAAGTCATAAAAGAAGAGGACAACTCTATTTTTTTTTAAAAACAGAATTATAGTTTTGAATATTAACATACAGTTAGCGGTAGAAATTTAAGTTACTTCTAAAGAAATTATATGAAGATAGATCACAGAATATTTTTAAAATTATTGTAACTTCATGCAACGCAAATAGTAACCAGTAGATTTGATTAATAGAGACAAAGTGTTTATTAAAGTAATTGTAAATGTACTGATACCACTTGAGTACTACAGGTACTGTTAGCACCGGGCTCACAAAAAGACCCCCACCCCACCGCTGTAATATGAGTGTAACGGCTGTGGGAAACTCCCAAACTATCTGTCCGATCACACTTTTTAATAGAATGTCACAATGGCACCATGTAATTAATATTATGTGTAAGTCTCATAAATTCTTATTCAGGATTTGCTGATAGAGCTTGATACCACAAATATTATAGAAAGAATGGTGTCCACGTTTTACTATGGGAAATCCTAAATATGTATCCAATCGTATTGTAAAATTCGTGTAGGAGGTCACAATGGCATTATGTGATAAAGATTCTGGAAATGTCTCGTTATATTTTTTACTTATATGGGAAGAGTACTGTTGCAGATGAGGGATGACAACCCCTAAGTGTATCAAGCGTGCAGACGTACCCTACGGACGGACACCTCCATCACTAAAAAGCCCAGTTTTTCAAGCGGGGTTGCAGGATATAATAAGTAGAAAATATGATCGTATGGGAATTTTTCAGATATTTCAGGTTATTTTTGTTCCTGTTGTAATTTGCGTACTTTCATTCTTCAACGATGAACAAAGTTAAAAAGAAAAGACAAGGTAGTTATTAAGAAAAATATTTTATGAAAGAAACGCATTTTAAAATGTATATTTCAGGCATAATTACAGATTAGATCGTTTGAACGTTATTCGTTGTTTGTTACAAATTAAATAAAAGAAAAAATACCTGTCTTGTAACAGATGAACATATTTCTCTGTGCGTAAAATAGTTACTGAAAACAGACATTTTTGGTTTTTCTGAACTATTTGAAAAATATTATAACTGCTGATTTACAGATGTTTTCTTTTAAGCTGCAGACGTGATCTGTTTAATTGTACCGAAGGGTACATATTAGTCTCTTCAAAGATTGATGACCTATGTACTTATATTTTTAACATGAATAGATATTAATCAAGAAAAAAAAAACAGATAAATAAATGGAGAGTTTTATTTCCTTTCAATTATATGTATTTATGTTTGCGACTAAAAATGACTATATTCTAACTTGTATTCTTTTCTCTTAAATTCATCCTGTAACTATTTATTCAAATATATTTTATTTATCTTTGATCTTATGATTTATGCTAAAATATTTAGAGAATTTTATAGAATTAGCCTTTACTATATAGTCAGTTTAGAATGCTTTAATGAAGAAGAGGGTACATATGTGTACATATACCAGTATCTCATTAAAAATATCATTAATTTTTGTAAAATCAAGATTTAAATTTTGGGGTACTTAAACATAACTTACTATAAATCAGGAAAAGATTTGCATGAATACTTCATAGTGTGGGAGTATTGACAAATGCATCTGAGGTATCTTTAAGCACAAAGTGTCATTCACGGCAATTGACTACTGTAAAACATCTTTATATATTTTTTACACAGCACATCACTGCATAAATAAAAACAAAAATACCATTCCTTGGCTTTATTTGGAGCAATTCTTGGGATTCCTCACCTAAACACAAAAGTAAAACTTTGTACACTTCACAACTGAATAACTTAATAATATACAAATGCTTATTCAGATTTGGTGACAAACTACAAGTAAAACAGAACATGGAGCAAACTTTATTCATTTAAGATTGCCTTTTTAATGCAAGTTTATATAAATTACCTCCTGCATTGAAGTCGTATAATGTATGCTCTGTAATATAAAAATAAGGGTGGTAATTATCTAAAGTGACATTGAATAAAAAATCACTTATTTTTTACTATTATGTCATATCATCTTTACAAGAATGGACGGGTTTTTCTTCGCTCTCTTAAATTAATTCACCAGTTACAGGTACATGTATACTTACACCATTTATAAACCTCATTAAAATGCTTATAATATTCATATAAATCTAATCATGCAAAAGTTGATAAAAAACAATCATTTGCCAAATTAACATTTTAATTGACTAAAACGGATTAAGTGGATTCTTTGCAAATAAATACCTTGCTTCCTGCGATATCTGCACATGTACACAGCGAATACAGATATAACAACAATTAATGCAGTGATAATGAAGACTATCAGGAAATAAATGTACCTAAAGAAAAAGTTGAAGAAGAACGCATTTTAGGAACAATGAAAACAAAATGATTTCAGGGAAAAGATCTTATAGAGAAAAACATAACGAAATGAGCTTCTCAAAAATACTTTCCCTATACATCTCATACACAGTCTGGTGCCATGCTCACTCAGTAATAGAAACTTTCTATATCACATGCGATTGATTTAGTAATATAAAGATTCGTTTGTCAGTATTTTTATTTTTTTTAACAACGTAATTCTGTCAATGCAAGATCACCGACAGTGGAGCGCCAATTTCTCTTTTCATGATGACGTTGCAAACTCTTTTGATGAGATTTTAACAGATAATTTTTTTGTAGATCATATATTGTCTGATACAGAGTCTCCACCACTTTAACACTGGCTGTCCCATTTACACACGAATGCATAACTAACTTTCACCGGGTATATATTTTCCAGAACATCATAAAATGCAATTTCAGAATTTTAAATAGTAACACAAGTCTATATGCTGTTATATACTTAATCATGTGATCAAGTTTTAGCAAATCAGAGAACCTGGAGTAATAGAGAAAAATAGTATATATATATATATATATATATATATATATATATATATATATATATATATATATATATATATATATATATATATATATATATATATATATATATATATATATATATAAAGTGCATTGTTTGTAAATTTCTGATTTTGACCTGCTCCAGTATCCAATGTTCGGAATTTTGAATAAATTTGAAATATATTGTGATTTATTTGACAACTTACATTCAACCCAAGGCATACAATTTTTTTGTTAAAACATGTCTACCAAATTAGGATACGGTATGACGCTTAATTGAAAAAAAAAAATTGAAAGTCTGGGAACTTTTCCAAAGACCTTCGTATATATGCAATTTTACATGCTTTGTTTTAAAGTTGAAAATCAACTGAATTGAAACAAGCTTGGGCATGTACGAAATACTCTGGTCTGTCTGGTATACTCTGGTAAAGTATTTGGAGAAATCTATATCTTACGAATTCGTACAAAGAAAGCCTGACTTAATTGTCTATACATCACATTGACAACCTCTCAGTCAGGTGCAGTACGTCGAAAATTAGGACGGAATAGATAAATATCAATGTTATCTGTAATCTGATAATTTGTAATGCCGTATGCATATTGCAGAAATAAATAGTTAGGTCAAACCTTTTAAATCCGCCAAGTACAAATTGTTTAAATAAACTGTAACTAAAGTTGCTGCAACATAAACTTGCCATTTATAGACTTCATCCTTTTTAGCATTGTCAGTTGAATTGAATGGAATGATCGTTGTCTCATTAATCAGGGGTAGAAGAGTGTGCTTCTTCACCACATCATAACATTTTGGAACTTCATAATGAAAATAAATAAATACATTATCACTCATGATTAATGCAACCCCATATTTCTTAAATCAAGCTGTTAACTTCTTGAGCATAATTTACCTTTTTATAATAAAATTGTTTTTAAAAAGTAAAGTGTTATCATGTAATTGAAATACAATTTAAAATATAGGCACTGTACATGTGACCACTGACCTCACAAATTGATACACTCCATATGCACAAGACACTTTATGTATGAAAAAAATCGATTGCTTCGTGTGTGCACAAAGGGTTATATTTTCTGTATTTCATGGATACATAGAATGAACATGATTTGCCGCAGCAGAATTAAAAAAACACACAATGGTTTTATACTGTTGCATGACATACTTTTTGGTTGTGTTACTTTTTTTTTTTTTTTTCCCATGAATTATCGACTCTGAAAATATAAAAGCTGTAAATTGGTGTTTACTCACATTGATATGCCATTGTTGATAAATAACGTTCTGAGCACGGTGTAATATTGTTGCATTTTATGCTGAAATGCGGTTGTATCAGTAGACCTTTAACATTAAACTCTGTGCAAAAACCTGTAAAATGTGAATAATCACTTTTTTCGTGAAAATAATCAAAACTGTTTTTTTTTTTTACTCGAACTTAAAATTTTGTTTCAAAATGTGCATCATGTTTCACTCACCATGAATGTAGTATGTTGGAGCACAGACCTCTACCAGAGAATCTTCTTCTTCATTTATCACACAGTGATATTTGAAATTTGATTCGTTGTTGCATGTCTGCTTTTCAGCCAAGGCTTCACAATTTTTTATATTTGCAGCTTTCTCCACTTCTTCAATTGTTGTTGGACAATCATTAACATATTGAATTGTTCTCTTTGACCACTGACATGATCGATCGAGACACCAAACATTCTAAATAATATGCATTCCTTTTATTAAAAAAAAAACAATTGTCATGTTGTAAATTTTGAATTAACAGGGTGGAGATGAATACAGAAGTTGGTAGGCATTTTCGCCAACTGTAGTAGTGAAATATGATGATAACGAACAGTGCCCAATCTCGAAAGTCCAATGAAACGATACAAATTTGGGCAGAGCAAACAAGGACCTCAAAATTTAGAGTAGGGATCAGGTGCCATGGAGGAGTGAGCATCCCCTGCCGACCGGTCACAAACGCCGTGTGTTCCTTGTCATGACCGGGTAATAACGGAGACATCTGAAGACAGGTCAGTGTATAAATAATGGTCTAACAATTAGTATGAAAAACGTCAGTCAGCATTTGACTCAATGATAGGTTGTATGTGCTGACAAGGTCATTATATCGACCGAAACTTACTTCAAACGAGACTGTTGATATCCTTATTTCATCAACTTGTTTGTCAATAACTTGCCTCATTTTAGAAATTGTTCATACGTAGAGCATGCTCTTCCGTATCGAATCAACTGAGAGACATAAACCCCATATGCAGATGATAAGGGTATATTGCTTTTTAAGTAAGGGAAGTTGACAATTGAAAAGTTGAAGTCATCACGTTCATCATAAATGTTTGTTGTTAGGTTACCATTAATGTCTTTTTCTAGTAAAATATCTAAATATGAAACAGATGTGTCAGAATCTGTGGTATCTTTATTTCAAGCTCACTGGGATAATTCGAGTCGACATATGAATGAAGTAATTACTGTTAATTGATAATACGTCGTGTTTTCTTCTTCTCAATTAGAAGTTTTTGAATAAATTCTGCTTCATATGAATCGAAATAATAGATCTGCTAATAAGGGACGCATTTGGTTCCCATGGGAATTCCAACATATTGTTGGAAGACCTGATCTCCAAAAACTACATAGATATTGTCACTCAGAAACTCAAGCATCTTTTTAATATCAACTTCAGTGTACTTGTGTGTACAATCAGAGTGCTTTTTATCAAAATAATTCTGTAAATGACCAATGACAAGGTAAGTATATTTACGATTTCCATTTTTATTGAAAAAGCAGCTTTCTATAATGTCAAAAAGCCTGGACTTCAATTTATCGGTTTATCAATTAAATGGTTGTATAATGTGTTGAAAAGTCATACGTTTTGATGCTATTGATTTTAGTAAAATTTTGTGATTTCAAATTTGCCAAAAGTTCTTTGGAGTTTTTAAGTATCCACATCTGATTTACGCCACTTCTCGAACATACTGTTGTACAGTATTCCTCCTTCATTACAGTAAATGTTTTAGAGAGGAGTAAAGAGAGGGGCTTGGTAGAACATTTACTGGAACCCGCTATGTATCTTTGTTTGTAAGGATTTTTATGAAGTTTAGGAATCAAATAAAGGTATGGTAATTCAAATTCATTTTTGATTGTTGGGAATATTGAAAGTATCTAAAACGGACATATGATTTTGAAGAATTTCCTCCTTAGATGGGGAGGTATGGGTGTAAGTTGGATTTCCACCAGTAGAATTAAATCCTAGTTCCTCTAAAATACAATTCAAATAGTGAGCCTTACAAACAAAGACGTCGTCCGCGAGGCGCAATGGTTAGATCGTCTGCTCTAGAGTCGCGGAGTAAGGAGTTGATCCTTACGTTGCGGGTTTGAATTCCACTGTGGGACGTGGAGACCGGTCCTTCGGATGAGACCGTATAAACCGAGGTCCCGTGTCGCAGTAGGTGCTGGCACGAAAAAGATCCCTCACTGCTCAATGGCCGTAAGTTCCGAGTATAGGGCAAAATTTGTAGCTCTCCACCGGCAAGTGGTGGCGTCTCCATATGAGTGAAAAATTCTCGAGAGGGACGTTAAACAATATACAAACAAACAAACAAACAAAGACTATGTTGCCAGCTTTGTCAGCTGGAACCAGTACGTACTGATTGTGTAATTTATCTGATTCCTTTTTTACTTCTGAAATATTAAAGACAGAAGGATAGATAGTTTTCATACAACCCCTCAATCGCTTAATGCGAGATTTCAACATCCATCTGTTGCACCGTTCCCGGTAGCTCAGTCAGCAGAGCTCTCGCTCCTTGTTCGGGATGTCGTGAGTTCGAATCTCGGCCGCGACTGACCTAAGTCGATAAAAAATGGGTAGGTTCCTTCTCCAAGCGCTCGGCACTTTGAAGTGACAGTTGCGGGTCCTTCGGATGAGACCTTAAAAACCGAGATCCCTTGTCACGGCAGGCGTTGGGACGATAAAGATTCCTCACTGCTCAATGGCCCTGAGTGCCGAGTAAAGGTAAAAAATTTGAAGTCTTTCACCCGTATATGGTGACGTCTCTATATGAGTGAAAAATTCTCGAATGAGACGTTAAACAACATACAATCAATCAATCCATCTGATGCTCCTAATCCATTCTGACAAAATATCATGGTCTTCTTTTTCGTGTTTGGCCCATCGCCTGGCGTAATCTTCCACAGAATTCATAATATTTATAAAATTATGAATGAACGTAGTTCCCTAAATTTTGGCCCTTTTAAAATAAGAGATTTAAGGTCCTCATTATCAACTATGTTTACTTCACCAGTAATGACGTGTCCAGCAGGACTATAGTTGTAGGGTGAAGAAGAACATGAACACGTAGGAGGATTATGTATCAGATGTTCTATATCTAGGCATTGTAGAGGTTTTTTTGTAATTAAAAAGTTTGGAAGCAATAGTCGATGTATATTTTATAAGAAATACAAGGTGTGGACTTCAACTTGAAATATGGTGGAATATAAGACGCTCTACCACTGCGCCACGTAGGCGACTAGAATGATTCGTTCTGCATGCTTCGACTATTTATATAACGAGACCACGTGACAACCAATCCTTAAATAGAATACTCTCCAAGAATTATAGTAGGACACCGGCGACAAAATATACAATAATGTATCGACATGAGCTTTCATTATTTTTCTCCCTGCAGAATGGGCGACAAAATTTACCTTACATATTGGCACTTAGTGTGCAGGCAACGATTTATGCTAATTGCTTTAATTTTTTTAAACAATATTATTATCAGCCACATTTCGTTAGAAAGTGCACATTGGGTAATGAGTCCTTTTTAAAATTTTCTTTATCTGTTCAGTATCATCGTCAGTTAATTTAGAGCAGAGCAAACACGATTTTTCCTCCTGAAATCATCAGAGGCAGGACCAGGCGCCAAGGAGGAGCAAGCACCTCCGCCGACCGGCCACATCAGCCATGAGCTCATTATCATGATCGGGCAAATGGAAAAAATCGTTGACAATTCAATGTTTAAATACTGGCTTGACAACCAGCACGAAAAACGTCAGCCAGCATTCTCTCAAAAACTCTTGCCGACAAGGTCATTGTATCGACCATAGAACCTGCGAAATGATGACCGTAAACTAAATTCTCGTCATCGTTTAATCAACCCACTTGTCAATATTCCGCCTAGATTCAGTAATTTTTGCACCTGAATTTTCGAAAATCTTGAATTCATTTTCACAAACAAATTTTACAACTGATATTCAACTACAAACATATTCCGAACAATGAAAAGAAAAAGGTTTTATTCCCGTCTCTCTAATAATGTACGAAATAAGGTGACCTCTGATCTAGATACTAATGTAAAATTTATGTTGTCCTCTGGTCTCCCTAATAATGTACAGTATAAGCTGACCTCTGTTCTCCCTAATTAGGTTCAATTTAAGGTGACCACTGGTCTCCCTAATAATGTCCAATATTCGGTGACCTTTGGTCCCCCTAATTATGTACAATATAAGGTGACCTACGGTCCCCCTAATTATGTACAATATGAGGTGACCTCTGGTTTCTTAAATAATATACAATATAAGGTGACCTCTGGTCTCCTTACTAATTTACAATATAAGGTGATCTCTGGTCTCCCCAGTAATGTACAATATAAGACGTCCTCTGGTTTAGCTACGTATATACAATTTAATGTGACCTCTGGTCTCTTTAATAATGTACAATATAAGGTACATTAATATAAGGTAACCTCTGGACTCCCTTATTAGGTTCAATATATTGTGACCTTTGGTCTCCCTAATGATGTACAATATAGGGTGACCTCTGGACTCAGTATTTATATACAATTTTATGAGACCTGTACTCTCCCTAATGATTTACAATATAAGGTGACCTCTGGTCTCTCCAATAATGTATAATATAATGTGATCTCTGGTCTCCCTAATAATGCACAATATAAAGGTGACCTCTGGTCTCCCTACTAATTTAGAATATTACGTGACCACTGGTCTCCCTAATAATGTACAATATAAGGTGACCTCTGGTCTTCCTAATAATGTACAATATAGGGTGACCTCTGGACTCCGTATTCATATACAACTTGATGTGACCTCTGTTGTCTCTAATGTATACTATATAAGGTGACCTCTAGTCTCCGTGTTCTTACACAACTTTTTGTTTTATACAACTTTTTTACATTATTAAAAGACCAGGGGTCACATAAAGTTGCATATAAATACGGAGACCAGAGGTTACCCCATATTGTACATCATAAGAGAGAACAGGAGTCACATAAAATTGTATATGAATGCCGAGACTAGAGGTCATCTTATATTGTACGTCAGAAGGGAGATCAGAGGACATATAAAGTTGAATATTAAATGTGTGTTGTAAGGAGATAAGAGGTTAAAAAGTATGGCATATGAAGAATTATTTTCCCAACACAGACTCTGCTTTTAATGACACGCAAAAACAAAAAAGGTACACAATTTCTCCATATTCACTAAATTTATTTCGTCAGAATGGGGGTGTGTGTTTGGACAATTTGATTGTCTTCATAAACATGTATATGATTCTAGGAAACAATTCTCAAGGGGTCCGTGTTTTCTAAGTCTACTTTTGGTAAGTCTATTTTTTGGTTAGTATTGTTTCTCCATTTACA